GCTCCCTATTCTGCCTAAGGATCTCTAACTTGTTCGAATAACGACAAGATCAGCATCCAGCAGAAATGAATTATGTTATTTTTTCAAGACATTAAGGAAAGTATCTAGAAAAATGATCGGGACTTTTTATTTCAAGTAAAACTAAGTCAGTTTGAGGAATTATGGACACTTTAAAAAACAAAAAATAAGAGATGGAAAGAAAAACACGGTATTTCAAGCGTATGGCTCAACATTGTCCCATGACCTTTGTGGCGCAACGGTAGCGCGTCTGACACCAGATGAAAAAGTTCCGTGTTGTAATCATGGCGAGGTTAATATCCACCAAAACCAAAACTTGTTTGACTTTTCGAGAGATTAGGAGAAGGATCTAGAAAAATCATCAAGGCTTCATGCGTCATTTTTAACTAATTCAGTTCATAGACTCATTGAGAAAGAAAAAAGTGCTGTAAAGAAAACGCATACCTTTTAACTCAATGGCTCAATCTAAGTGCCCAAGGTATTTGAGGAGCAACAATAGGGGATTTGACTCCAGATAACACGCTTGCGTGATCAAATCTCGTCGAAGTCAACATTCAACAATGCTGAAAGCTGTTCATTTTTTCCATTATTTTTAATGAAAAGATCTAGAAATTGGATTACGGCCTTTTTTGAAGTAAATTTTAGTCAACTCACGATTCAGTTTTGATGAAACCTTTTTGCACACTTGATACAATTTCAAAACATGATACGAATTAAAATCTTAATGCTTGCGATTAAGAGGCGCTATAAAATCGGAATGTAGACTTTTTTTGGGTTGACAACTATAGGGTGTTCCAAAACCTATGAGACTTTTGGAAAGGCTGTCATTTCGTACTGAATTGACGTGCACACATGAAAATTTGATACTTTATAGACGAGAAGCAGAAATTTTATTCATAGAAAAAATTATTAATTTCAGGAGATGTTGAAAATGTATCCCGCCATTTTCTCAACATTTGATCATTCGCTTGTGAATTGTGGCTGTAGCAGTTGAAATCTGATCCTGCGTGATCCCCCTGCAGAATGTCAGAATGTTTCAACGCTTGTGATCAGTTTGGCAGTGGTCCTGGGGTTTTCGCGATGAACTGCAGCCCAAACATAACCCCAGAACAAGTAGTCCAGAGGAATAAGCTCTGGGCTTTGAGCGGGCCAAAGAATTTGGGAATGACGACTGATAATGCGGTCACCAAAAAAGTTTGTAGAAACTGTAATACTGGAGGGGTTGTATGGCATAATGCGCCGTCTTTTTGGAACCAAAGTCTCCTAATATCTCGCCGGTGTTACACAACGGGACATACTTGGTTCTTGAGAATGTTGGAATAAACAACTTGGTTGACCGTGATTGGTCTTCCATTCTCATTTCTGAACCAGAAAAGACCTATGATTTCGCCGTGAAGAAGGCCACGCCAGCACATTACTTTGTTTTTGCCCTGATATCGAGTTTCTTCGAAATCACGAGGGTTGCAACGTGTCAAAATCCGATCGTTTTGGCTGTTCGACTCTGGGTCCAAAACCACAGAGAACCTTCGAGTGAAAGTTTCGATCCTGAGATAAAAACCACATGCAAAATGTTTCTCGCATTTTGTAATTTCATTTTGATATTTTACACAGTTTGCTGTCTTTGAATGCAGCAAACTTTAAGTCTCGCCTGAAAATCCGCCTTAAACTGGTTGAGGAGATATCAAGTGCCCTGATGATGCTCTTATGCTTGATTTGGGGTTTATTTCAAAGTGTATCGCAACTCTCGGATAATTGTTATTTCGAATCTTTGGTCGACAACCTCTGTTCCTAACCTGTCCCGAAGGCCTATCTTGAAAATGTTGCCATTTACATTGAAAATCGGTCAAAGTGAACTTGCTTCTTTGCCTTTGCCAAATGGCATATGTTTCAAGAAATTTTCGCTTGACAGCAATTGCTGACAATCCTTTTGCAAACTGGAGGATAGTGAGTTTGCGCTGCTCATCACTGAATTTTGTTTCTTTGATAAAATGAACGAGATTGAAGAAACTGGCGTGAACAATTCAATGAAGCATGATTTAAAATCCATAAAATGGCGCAAAACATTTTTTGCGTTTCTCCAAATTGTTTTTTCTCACGGATTCTCAAAATTCCAAATCTCATCTATCACCCAGACTCATACTTCATTTCAGTCGAAAAAGACAGCATTTTCAACAATCTCATAGGTTAAGGAACACCATGTAGTTTAACAGAATCAGTTTAATCACTTAACATGCTCTTCACCTGACATGCTCTCTAGCTGAAATGCTCATTTTCTTGAAATTCAAATTTCACTAGTGGCTGGGTACTAGTTGCTACAGGGTAGTTTCAGGGGTACTTGAAATTTTCACAGTTTTTCTTTTCAAGATTTTTTTTCGGCTCAACTGGTTTCGGCTCAAAAGATTGTCGGCAGTGTTTCCGCTTATAAGTTTTGTTCAGTTGCTGATTTTAATTTCAAATGTCTTCCACGGCATGTGTCCCTAAAACTCCTGAGTGAGAAAATCTTGTATTCTTGAACTGTATGGTTTTATAATTCTAGACGTTGTGAAAAAATTTAAGACCTAATGCAAAAAAGTTAGTTTTTTTCAATAACCATTCTTCATTTTAAAAAAGGAGTTTTAATAGAAGGCTTTCTACATTCTTGTGTACCTGCATACACCTCTGGTCTCTGTTTGCTTTCTGTTTTCTCTGCGCTCTTCGAAATAACAATGGGGTGGGGGAATATTTGATCTATATGTTTTTTTTTGTTTTCTCAAAAATTAACCTACCGAATTTTAGGTTTTGGTTTCAGCGAATAAATCAGATTTGAAAAGTTTCCCTCCATAAGCCGATATGCCCAAATTCTTTTACAAATAGAATTATGGCACTCGGAATAGTCAAATTTTTAATTTCTTTAACCGCTTTTTGAGCGTTTGAATTTTCTCAAAAATTAAGCTTTCAAATCTGAGGCTGTGGGTTCAATGGAGATAGCGGGTAGTGTGAAGCTCTCCTGCATTAGCGGGCGCTCACATTTTTTCTAACTTTTATGAGTTGTACCAAAAAAAACCCTCTCACATCTGAGATTTTGAGTTCAATCCAAAAACCGCGTGTGGGATGCTCATTTGCAATCAAGCATACGCCCAATCAGCATACGCCCAATCAAGCAATCAAGCATCATTTTTCATACAAAATTTTATGAGTTAGGATAAGTCCAAATCTTTATTTTTTTGACCGTTTTGATTTTTTGGCTTTTCTGTAACTACCCTGCCAAATCTAAATACCGCCAGCTTTAGTTGAGCACTAGGGGTCCTTCATTGAGATATTGGTAAATTTTGGTTCAACTTTTGGTTTCTTTAAAACTTTTTTCATTTTTTCGACTTATGCTTTTTTATGGTTATGTTGTATCAAAAGTGATTCAAAGCTCCGCTTCACCTGTTGTATTTTATTTATCTTTCAAAGTTTTTTGAGTACTCTTCTATTTGATCGATCTCGACCGTGAAAAGATTTAAAGACGCAATCGTCTAATACATTCTGATCCATTATTTCCTGAAAAAAATCTTCATAATCTTTCAAGTGAGTTGTTTTGTGATCCAGAATTTTCAGGTGTGCTTAAGTATTCTGATCTGGAGTTAAAAGCAGTGCCGTTGCGCCAAGAAGTCGTTAATATAAGGCTGAGTCATAGACTCAAAGATTACCAGTAATATTTTTTCAAAGCGCACTTTACTGTTTTTCAGGAGTTTTTTATTTTCGAACCAATTTTGTTTTAGAAAAAAAAACATTAGTTCTTGAAGAAAAACTAGACACATTCAAAATCTTTTTACTTATCTTTCAGAGTTTTTCAGTATTCTTCTATGTGATCGATCTCAACCGTGACAAGAGTCAAAAACGCAATCTTTTGATCCAGAGTCAGACGCTCTACCATTGCCCCACGAAGTCTTTAGACCAAAACTGAGCGATGAACTTGAAAAGTTTTTTTTTGAACCCTCTGATTATTCTTTTTTCTTGTCACAACTAAGTGTAAGTGCGAGAGTGTTTTTTTTCACGCACAATTAGATACACGAGCAAGACTACTCGTATCAAGGCCAATTCTTCAATTTTTTTTACTGCCTTTTAAGCTTTTTCGACTTTTAAAAAACTTTCAAAATAAAACGAAAAAATAAATTGTACTTTTTTGAGATTGGTTTTTGAGAAAGGCATCTACCCACACTTTAAGTAAAATATGAAGGGATATGTTTCGCATATAGCTTAATACTAAATGAACCAAATAGCATGCCTCAATTCAGTTTGGAATAATTTCTATTAGCTTATGCATTATTAGCTCGAAATATATCGCGCGTAAGTTACCCCACTTTGGCAATCTTTAAATCCCCATAACCTCACGAAAATTATTAAAGGACGAAAAAATGTTTCGAGCTCAAGACAACAGTACTTTTCTGATGGTATCAAAAAACTCCGTCGCAAATTGCTAGTTAAACAGCCGAAAAGAGAAAAAAAACTCCCCGAGCACAAATATTCCGTCATCTTCTTCGAAAGTCGGAACAAGAAACTGAATTTTTTTTAGCCACAATACGACATACAGCAAAAAGTTTATAAAGCTAAATTTCGGAATCGAGAAAAGTTTATGCTTTGACAAGTTATTTATAGCAAATTTCCAATGCAATTGAGTCACGCAATAAATACGTACTGTTTCACTGGAATTTTATAAGATAACATATTATTCGTTTCAACATTGAGTTAATCAAAATCACTAACGGTAAAAAACCCATGTCTATCAAGTTGAGGTAATTTCTTCGAGTCAGAGTGAATCATAAAGTTAACTGAAACTGAAAAAGTTTGTAAAATGATTAGCTGCTCGTGGAGCTTATGGCGCATTTTTTTTTACTCAAATCAGATATTTATTAAGTAAATACTCATAAAAACTTATCTGTTGGCTTTTTCTGCTATAGTTTTCATACCAGAACTTTACTTTGAGGTTTTTTTATTACGTAAACTCTATAATTATACAGGTACTGATGGTGGGAAACAGCTTCAAGAAGCGATGGAATCCAACTCTCAAATAACCAAACTGGACTTGAAACTGGCAAAGTGCGGACAAGAAAGCGAGTACTGTATCAACAAAATGCTGGACCGGAACCTACAAGAGAAAATGAAATCGGGAGAAGATCGGTTTCTGTCTTACTACAAGCCACCCAAGACAACTCCTCCTACTGGAATCGGATCCAAACCCAGAACTCAAGCCAGCCGACGCCAGACCTCGAGGGCAGCTGTCAAAGCAAATTGATAAATCACAACTGAAAGAATAATATATATTGCCCGATTATACTTATATTTTAATTTGCGTAAGGTTCGATAAGTAACCGAATTAAAACTTGCGTATCTCTTGTTTTGATTTAAAAGTCACTGCCATTATTTTATCACATAGATAGGTTTCAGGATGCGAATTCAACCTTTTATACCTCTCGAAAAAATTGTCAAGTGATAAATAATTTTTCATGTAGCAAAAACTGTTGTGAAAAGCAATATTTTCTGTTTCAATAGAAGTATCATTTAGGATTTTAAAAAAATCTACCGAAGAAAACGTACATTGTCAGTTTTTTTTGGACAATTGATATTTGATGCATCCATTCATTTGAGTTGAAACGCGTGCAAATTTTTGTTAACGTTTTCTACGACAACCATTTAAAGCCCAAAATGTCAGCGGCGCTAAAAAATTTTGCTTAAATTGTTTTTACTTGGATTTAGGTTTAAAGAAGGAAAAGATTGCAAAAAAGCGAAATAAAAAGCCTAAAATTAGTCTAAATTTTTTCCAAAAAACCAGTTTCTGCTGCTAAAAAAATCGAGCCTTGTTTTCTGATTATTTAGTTATGAATATGCAAAAATTTACTAAATATCTATTTCCAGGGATTAATTAAAAAAGGCGAATTGATTGTCTTTGATATTTTTCACGCTCAAATTCATGCTCAAAATCAGTTTACGCTCAAATTTGTTTTATTTGGCGTTTTACTTTATGATTTTTCTTCAAGATCACTTTGAATCTTTTTTTAAGTGGAAGGTAAGCTCAACTTTCGTAAATCGATTAATGTTAAGCTTACGGAAAACGTGAAAGAGTTCTTGCTTCGAAAAATGAATTTCATTTTCTGAATCAAGCGAATTAAAATGTGAACCTACCCTACCCGTGTTGAAGTCCAGCCGTCAATTTTCGTATTTTTCTGTAGTATCCCAGTGATAGCAATTTTCCAGCGCTGATTCATGTATAATTTAGAGTTTTTGGAATAGTCAAACCTGCGATATTTCAGAGCTATTTCAGTAAAAATTCCTTAGAAAATCAGCGCTAAAAATCAGCCCAGGCGCTGTTTTTTTCTCACTTTTCTATCGCTATTTTTCAATGTGATCTCAACCCGGGTAATGAATCAGTTTCTTCTAAATACGATCGCTTCTAATCAAAAACAATTGTTGAATTTCAAAGAATTTCAACTTCATAATTTTTTCTTCCAAAACTCAAAAGTTGAAACTGTTAGATATTTTGCATTTACTTTTTTTCGAAATTCTTGCTCTTCTGCAATATTCTAACCCTTTAAGCAATCATTAAAAATCAAAAGCTCTTATATGGACCACAGTAGTTTGATTTATTTTGATAGATAATATGAAGAGTTTGGGAAACACTTATTAAGGTCAAGCTTAATTTTATTAGGAAATAGTAATTGGAAATGTTTCGTTTTGTTTTTTGATGTTTCATTGATGCTAAACAAAGGAAAATTGCGCTCTCAAAAAGCAAAGTTTTAAAAATGCGATCAAACTATTTTTTGATCCAATTTTTCAAGTTTACTTAATTTATCAAAAAATGACGATAAAATTTTTTTTGAATATTCAAAGACCGTTGTCATTTTCATTTTCGTTTTGAACAAATTCATTCAATTCATGCACCGTTATCATTTTCATTTCATTTTGATATTTGTTTCTAATCTTTTTTGTGTATACCCGCATTGTAGTTTTATGGAAAAGAATTAGATTTCTGTTGACTAAAAAGTTGTCTAAATAATCGGTCTGTGTGGCAAATTGAGTTAATGTAATAGATTTGTAAGCCAAAAAAGACTATTCAGATTCTTTTGGCAAACAAAATCCATTTAGTTTCATCATAATTGAATATGATACATTTTTCGTAAACATATTTTATGAAAATCGATTACTTTTATAGATATTCACAATAGTTTTTGCAGTTTTCTGCAAAACTTGAACGCGAACAAACACAATCATCTCCATATTCACAACTCACAATCTCAACCCCCCGTCTGGTATAGGGTGGAGAGCGGAACAAAATTAGGAGCGAAAAAAAATAAAAGAATAACAAAAATAAACGCATTTAAAGCTTAGAAAAAAATGAAATTTAATCACTAACTATTTTGAGTTTAAAACAATTCTGATCGAATGAAAATAGCACGCAAAAAGCCTCAAAAAATTGATTTAAAATCATTATAATCAATTTATTTTTTATATTATGTTTTTTTTGGTGACTGTTTTGAAAAATAGATCGGTATTAATCACTTATAATTGATTAGGAGAATCCGTCATAATTGAAGGTTTATAAATTGTAGAGAGACAGGCTATAATCAATTATTATATGCATGAAACCTCAGTGCGGTTTACACGGTGGCCAGTCAATAAGCAGAATAATTCCAAGAGCAGAAAAATTGAAAAATATCATCTTTTATACCCTAATCGGTAAATTAACTATCAGAAATGTCAATGATACCAAAGCAACGAACATTTTATGCATCATATGTGTTTTTTAACCAAGGTTTGTAAAAAATTTTAATGAAAAAACTTAATGAAAATA